CAGAGATCTGCCTGGCTCTGCCTCTCAAGTGCTGAGATTAAAGGCCTGCACCACTGCCACCTGGCCACTTTTTTTTTTTTAATTGAATTTTATTATTTTACTTTTGGAACCATGGCTCACTAACTGAGATTGGCCTGGAACTTGCTATTAGCCTAGGCTGCCTGTAATTCATGATTCTCCTGAAGTCCAGATTTTTATAAAGAAAATATTTGTAAAGTGTGCTGCTAAAGGTAGGTGGGTAAGCTGGGCATGTTCAGTTAGTAGAGTAAACATTTATCTGGGCTGCAGGAATCCCTGAGTTCAATTTCCAGCACCATGTAATCTTTGTTCTTGGGAGGTGGAGGGAGGCAGATCAGAAGTTCAAGATCATCCTTGACTTCACAAGTTCAAGGCAGCCATACATGAAACCTGCCTTAAGATAAATAATAAATATTTTTTTTAAAAAAGAAAAATACTTATATAAAGAAGGGTGTGTCAGAAAATGTCACGTTTCTTCTCCTTCCTTCCTCCTCTTCCTCCTCCTCCTTTTCCTCCTCTTCCTCCTCCTCCTTCTTTCTTCTTCGCCATGGTGGTGTGCACCTTTAATCCCAGCCACACCTATGTAGAGAGACTGTCTCAAAAACAAAAAACGAGCTACAATACAAGAAATTGGATTTTTTTAAAAAATACATCCTTGCCTGTCCATTTGTTATGTAGACCAGGCTGGCCTTAAACTCACAGATACCCACCTGCCTTTGCCTCCCAAGTGCTGGGATTAAGGGTGTGCACCATCATGTCCATCTAGATTCATTGAAAAAAATTATTTTTTATTTTGTGTGTACTTGAGTGTTTTACTTGCATGTATGTATGTGTACCGCATGTGTGCCTGGTACCTTGCAGAGGTTGGAAGAGGATATGGATCCCATGGACCTGGAGTTACAGATAGTTGTGAAGCACCATGTGAGTGCTGGGAATCAAACCCAGATCCACTGGAAGAGCAAGAGTTCTTCACCTGTGAGCTGTCTCTCCAGCCCCCTAGATTCATTTTTAACTTTTTGTGATGTCACTTTAACAAGTCACTGTGGTGTCACAGATGGACTGTGTCTCTGCTGGTGGCATTGATGAAAGGAGAAAACTGAAACACCCATTTCTTCCATGGAAAGTACTTACTTCATTGATTTAGCTTACTGGATATGGGATAAGAAATCTTGACTCTTCCATGAAGTAGTTGCTCTTTGAGGTTAAACAACCATGTAACTGTTAAAAAACAAAACAAAACAAAACAAAACAAAAACCTTGGTTAAGGTAAGTAAAACTTTTTTCATTTTCATCATGGCAGCAGTAATTTAAAATTTTAATTTAAATTTTTATTTTTTTTGTTTTTTTTTCAAGACAGGGTTTCTCTGTGTAGCTTTGGTGCCTTTCCTGGCTCTCACTCTGTAGCCCGGGCTGGCCTCTAACTCACAAAGATCTGCCTGCCTCTGCCTCCCGAGTGCTGGGATTAAAGGCGTGTACCACCACCGCCCTGTAGTTTTTAATTTTTTTTAAGACAGGGTCTCACTGTATCACCCTGGCTGACCGTCAACTCACAGAGACCCATCTAGCTCTGTCTCCTCTGCTGGATTAAAGGTCTGTACCACCATGTCCAGCTTTAATTTTTTTAATTATTTTCAAAATCTAGATAGTGTTTCAGTGATCTCCTGTCCTGTTTCCCAAGTGCTGGGATTGAAGGTGTGCACCACCACACCTGGAAATAATAATTATTTTTAACTTGTAAATTATTAAATTTTGCTTGAGTTGGAATATAATGTTTACTAATTACTTAGCCTGAGATATTGCCTTTCTATTATTAGATCCTGAGTTTATTTTCCCTTTCTACATCTTTAACTCCCCTAAGCTCAGTCTCTTAAGTCTCCCTGTGGCAGATACCTTAGTTATTTTCTACTGTTTTCCTTTTGAATTAACTTTTTTATTCCATTTTTTATGTTTATGGTTTTTTTGCCTACATGTATGCCTGTGCACCACATGCATGCCGGGTGCCAGGAGAGGGCCTCAGATTCCCTAGGACTGGAATTACAGGCAGGTGTGAGCTGCCAAGTGGGAACTAGGACTTGAACCCGGGTCCTCTGAAATAATGTTTAGTGCTCTTACCTACTGAGCCATCTCTTCAGCCCCTTGTTTTTTTTTAAAGGATTTATTTTTATTATTTATATGTATGAATCTGTGTGAATGTTTGCCATTTGTGTGAGTACTGGTGTGTGTGTGGGGGGGTCACAAGAGGGTGCCTGATTCCCTTGGAACTGGCTTTACAAGCAGTTGTGAGCTGCTTTAAATGTGAACTGGGAATTGAACTCAAGTCCTCTGGAAGAGCAGTAAGTTTTAATTGCAGAACCATCTCTCCAGCCGGTTTTTCTTTTTTGTCTTTTCCTCCCTCCATCCTTCCTCCCCTCCTTCTCTCTTTCTCTCTCTGTCTCTCTCTCTCTTTCTTTTTTGATATTAGGTCTCTTTAGCCCTGCCTGTCCTGGAAAACTTATGTAGACAGACTGGCCTTGAACTCACAGAGCCTCTGCCTCTGGAGTCCTGGGATTTAGACATGGGCCACTATGCCCAGCTTCTTTTTGTTTTATTTCTAGTATCTTTTATACTCCTCAAAAATGGTATCAAGTCTAGATAATCTCAAAAGGGCTGTGTAGTTGGAAGTTTTCCTGTGTCCTGTCCAGTCCGCAGGCGCTCAGACCCAAGTAAATACACAGAGGCCTATATTAATTAGAACTGCTTGGCCATTAGCTCAGGCTTACCACTAACTAGCTCTTACATTTAAACTCAGCCCATTTCTGTTAATCTATATGTCACCACGTGTTACATGGCTTTGACTGTGTGTCATTACATTTTGCTCCCTGGATGATGGGCCGGTGTCTCCTGACTCAGCCTTCCTCTTCCCAGAATTCACCTTGTCTGCTTATCCCACCTATACTTCCTGCCTGGCTACTGGCCAATCAGTGTTTTATTAAACCAGTGTATGAAAGTGTTATCCACAGCAGGGATAATTATTCTGAGCAGTTATCTTTTGGCCAATATAGTTTATATTGGACTGTCTTCAAGCCTCTAAAACTATTGTGCTGGCTCCTGACTAGAATGCCTTGTCACCACCCCTGTGGCTTTCCCATGTTGCATTTCTGCTCTTCTCTTTCACACTTATCAAATTCCCTTTTGCCTTCTTTCCCACCTGTTTAGTTTGCCGATATTTCAGAGTCAAATTTTGATGAAGCCTATCTTGTTTAGCTTAGCTTAATTTTGTTTTTCCTTCTGTGATTACTGTGACCCTTTATTGCTAGGTTTACTTCACTAGTCATTTGTCAGGATTCTCCAAAGAAATGGACCAATTTATTTATTATTACTATTATTACTATGTGTGTAGAGACAGGTATTTATTGTAGGAATTAGCTCAGACAGTTATGGATGCTGACAAGTCTAAAGGTGGGCAGGAGTTGTTGGCAAGTTGCAGACTCATGCAGTAGTTGCAGGCTAATGCAGTAGTTGCAGTCCAAAGGCTAACATGACAGGCTGAAAATCAGACTCGGGAGCTCATTGTCTACTTTGTAGTTAGGCCAGAGGAATTTGTTTTGGCATTTATTCTGCTGTTCATTTATATACCTTGCCTTACCAGCTAGTAAGTGAAGCATGTTGAGGCAGGCAGTACAATCATATTTACTTAAGGAGTTCTATCATCCTTACATGTAGCAGTATATCTGTATACTTTATTAAAGCTATACCTTTTTTTTTTTTTCCCTCAAGACTGTCCCATGTAACTCAGTCTGGCCTCCAACTCATTCCTATTCCTCCTGCTCCCGTTTTCAAGTGCTAGGACTTCAGAAGTCCCATACCTGGCTTAAGAGAAAGGATTTTTGAGGTTACTGTATTTTGGAGTTAAGAAATCAGGA